CACACGCGCGCGCGCACACACACACACACACACACACACACACACACACGCGCACACACACACACACACACACACACACACACACACACACACACACACACACACGCGGACGATGAGCCACTGATTCAGCACAGCCCATCAACCTCCTGACACACGTCGCGGCTGCACAGAAGCTCTGGCTCCAATTACACCTGAGCTGGAGTGACGTACAAAGCGGCCATTGCAATGTGTCGAGGTGCAGATTGAAAAAAAAATAAAAAACGCATACCAGCGTGGTGATGTTTTTGGGGAAGGGAGGGCGCACGCACGCAGGCCGCCGAAGCACACGCGTGGTGCGGCCAAACCAGCAGGCTCGGCATGACAGGGGCATTTGTTTCGCGTGTATAGCAGTGCTGCTGCTGGTGCCTGTGGTTGCGCTGGGGCAAGCAAGCTTTGAAGCACACATACATCAAAAGTGTATAAACAAACGAGCTGCGGCACGGCAGCTATGTGGCATCAACCTGCTGGATATGTGTCATCATACGTGTGAAAGCTGTTTCAAGCGAGACCACTAGAACCCTGACTTTCATGTAACACTCAAACAGTCTGTGGTGCGGCAGCCGCGCTGGCTGCTGCCTGCCTCTCTTGGCATGCCTGGCGGTGGCCGGGCCAGGCGCTGCGCATGCACGCCAGGCTGCAGTAGCGCACCGAGCGGCAGCCGCGGCACAAGCGCAGCCGCACGCCGTCCGCGGGCGTCTTGCCGCACGCCGCGCACCTATCGCCGCCTGCGCGCCCAAGCCCCTGCCCGGACCTTTCGCCAATGACTGGCAGAGCGTGGCTGCCGCTGCTGGAGGACCCCGTTCCCCGCCGCTCACGGCCCGAAACTGCTGCCGCACCCGCTGCTGAGGGTGCCGCGCCTGCCGCGCGACCGCGCCGCCCGCAGCCGTTGCTGATGGTGCTCCCAGCCAAGCCGTGAGGCTGCTCCTGCTGCTGCTGCTGCTGCTGCTGCAGATCCTCGAAGCGCATTGCCAAGCGCAAAGGCATATCAGCCGCCAACGCCTCGTCTTGCAGTAGCCTCTGCTCATACGCCTCCGCGCCCGGGCCGCCGTCTGACCGCACAGCCAGGAGCGCGCCGGCGGCGCGCACCGCCGCGTCCGTGAAAGTCTGGAGCGCCTCGGGCCCGCTCTCACGCAGCGCCCCGAGCGCGGCGTCGGCGCCGCCGTCGTCTGCGGTGGCGTCCGTGAGGCGGTCCAGCGCGGCCAAGAGCATTTCGGCCGCGTCCAATACCCAATCCTCGTTCTGCTCTGGCGGGCCCCCGCCACGCGGGTGCTCGTCCCTGCGAAAGTCATCCGCGACCCGCACCAGCGCCTGGGCTGCCCCGCGCACAAGCGGTCGCCTCGTCCGCAGCGCCGCGAGCCGGCCGCCGCCGCGCGCGGCGCGCGTGATGGCGTCGAGGGCGGTGGCGGCGGCGTACAGCACTCGCAGGTAGCGACGGGCGCCGAGGCGTGGGTGCGGGTGCAGTACGGGCGTCGCCAGCTGCCGCGCGACCTCATCTAAGATGCCCGAGCCAGACGGGGCCAGCGCCATCGCGGCAAACGCGTCCCCTGCGGCGGCGCTGTGCGCGATCAGGAGGCGGATCCCCAGCAGCGCGTCGTTCGCGAGCGACGCAAACCCGCGCGCCTCGTCGCCGCCCGCGGCGCCCACCGCCGCGCCGGCGGCGCGCATCGCGCCGGCGAGCGAGGCGAGCGCCGCCGGGTGCGCGCAGACGGCCGCGCAGGAGAGGGGGCAGTCGCAGAGCTCGACAAGCACGGAGATGGCTTTGCACTTGATGTTGAAGCTTGGGTCGGTCAGCGCCCTGAGCAGGTGTCCGATGAAGCCGTGCTTGACTACAGCATCTGCCACGGCCGCGCGCTGTACATCGCCGCACGTGGCCAGGAGCGGCGCCAGCACCGAGATCCTGTTCTCCAAATGAGGGTCGCCCAGCCGCACCCCGCCGCCGCAGCGCAGCACGGACGACCCGTCGCCGAGCGCGGCAGCGGCGGCCTCCCGCGGGCGGCGGCGCGCGTGGTGGCTCAGCAAGGACTCGACCAGCCGCAACGCTGGCTCGAACATGCCGCCGTTGCCGGCCAGGTGGCGGCGCACGACCTCCATCAAAGCGCTGTCCCCCGCTATTCTCTCCGCAACCTCCGCGGCTGCTGCCGCCTCCGCGGCCGTCGCCGCCGAGCTGTCCCCGCTGCCGTGCTCCCGACGATCGCGCGACAGCACCCCAAGCATCAGCAGCGGCCCGCCCACTCCCGCGCGCTGCTGTATCCTCGGGGCCTTTGCCGCGGAGATGAGGACGCCGGCCGCGTCCTCAGGCATCATGAGGAGGTCGCGCCTCACTGAGGGGCTGCACATGCACAGGGCGTGCATGACTAAGCACGCCTGGCCGAGCGGCGTGCCGCTGCAGGCGCCGCGCGCTGCCAAACGCATGAGAGCCTGGGCGTAACCCGCGTCCGCCATCTGGGGGGGGGGGCGTCGGCGGGGGCAAGGGGAGCTGGTTGGTGCAAGCCGCTCGGCTGGCGGGCCGCATCGCAGACATGCAAAGAATGTGCAGGCCTGGTTGCTCCCCTGGGGGGGACTGCAGTGTCCGCCGTCCAGCGCAGGCGTGTTCCGGCCGCAGTAGCGGCCCTCATTCCCCATTCTTTGCAACTGCACCACCACGCCCGCGAACGCACCTGGCGCAAGCAGCTGGGCGCCTTGAGGAAGCAGGTGCAGGTGGCGATTGCCAGGTCTGACTCCAGGATGCTGGCTGACTCGTCAACCATTATTGCCCGGAGAGATGCGATGGCCGCGGGCCGCAGCAGCAGCCCCTGCGGCAGCGCCGCGCATGCCGTTTCAATTCCTGTGGTTGCTATAAAGAGCAGGCGCCGTGTTGTTGAGGCGCCTTCCCGGCGGCGAGCAGCGGTGCGCAATGCGGGGTCGCAGACGAGCGCGAGCGCCGCCTCCACGCGATCTGCCATGGCCTGGACGGCCGGATCCATGGCTGTGTGCGTACGATATTGTAATTTTCGGAGCTGAAACAGCTATAGGTATGGGGCGGGTCCACGTCAGATCCGTGCGACAAAGTACCGGTACTATGTCGAAGCCTATCTACTATGGACAAGTTTGGTAAGCGCAGATGAAATCAATCTGATCGGTTAGACTTGGAGCCCCGCCGTGATGTACGCAGACAGGGTGAGTAGCCAGACTGGCGCACCACAGTTTTTGAGCAATGCAAGCTCAGGTGAGGCAGCGGGGTGCCATGCATCGCATGTGTGCATTCATGAGCTGCTTGGTGAATGGTGTTGTCGGTCATGAAGCCGTACGGTACGCCACATTGCACGATCCCGGCACCCTGCAACACCTCGTCCTCCCAAGTTGACAAGTGGGAGCCAACCCCTGGAGCGCACACTTGCCGCGGACCCAGCTGCATTTGAACCCTTGCATGTCCCCACATATCCAACATTTGCTGTGTTGCAGATGGCGCAGCAGGTGTGCAAGTGCATGTGAGCGTAGCTTTGTTGGCGTGCTTTTGGATGGGCATGCCTTTCCAGTTTGTGCGCATGCATGTGCGTGCATGTGTGTGTGTGTGTGTGTGTGTGTGTGTGTGTGTGTGTGTGTGTGTGTGTGTGTGTGTGTGTGTGTGTGTGTGTGTG